CAGATTCTAGATTTGCCTGTAGAGATATTAGGGAGAGCTTTCAGGAGCTGCTCCTGTGAGGGGGTGAAGGAAGCAGGATCAGGTAGAGGGAGAAATTGAATTGTAGGGCAGGTGTAACAGAGGCCTCAGCTGACCCTACAGGTAGCTCTGAGGCTGAGATGGACGATCGGAGATGTCCTGAATTGAAGACTGGGGCTGCATCAAGGGGTTATTGTGCCTGGGAACAGGGCATAATTTTGAGTGAAGGTCTCAACTGTGAGCTGACACTACCAGCATCTGGTGAAAAAAGCACCATGGTCCTGAAGTGGGGATCTGGGTGGCATACTATGACATCTACTAAAGATAGGATGACCAGGGGCAACCAGGAGTGAGGGTAGCCCAGGACATGGGGATATCAGTGATAAAACTGGAACAGTCCCAAGCAAACCAGGAGATTTGGTTGCCCTAGAAGCCCTGACCTTAAAATACTAAAGGGAGCTGCAAATTTGTCAGCTATCATTTTCTTGATAACAATGAATATGTATTAGTAGAATATACATCAGTAGTTAAGAGGCTAGGCCATTGGATAAATAGTCAAGGAGTAGCTTAACTACAAAAGGCTATTAGAATATTTGTGACAATATTTGACTTGTAATCTTTAGTGGGTGAATCATGGAACAGGAGTAGTGACATCTCTTAGGGCAGGTCCCTGACACAAAAACAGAGTTCAAGTTCCTCAAGTAAGGCCACTAAAAGGAAATAAAAGATCATATCAGAAAAACTAGAAACAACACAGACATCAGGTCAGCTAGCAACAGCACCAGAATCACCTGGGGACCTTATTGCTAATGCAGAGCCCCACCAGCAAAAATACTGATTTGGCACCTAGAGGGTGAGGATAGGGGACCATAGGGACCTGCCTTTTTAACAGGCTTCCTAGGGGCTTCTGATGCAAGTGACAGTAGATCACAATCTAAGAGACATTGTACTGTCTCCACCATCCATTTCTCTTAGCCGATCATGTTTTTAAGTTTCAAGTTGCCAGGTAAAATGCAGGACACTCAGTTAAATTTGCATTTCATATAAACAATACTTTTTAGTATAAATATGTGTCATGGGAACATATAATAAAATAATATATAACATCAATATAATGTTATAATAAAATAGTATATATGAATAATATTACAAATCATGATTAAATTAAAATGTATAAAATATTATGTAATATTATAACAAAATATAAATTATTAATAGCAGGAAATTATTCATTATTTATCTGAAATTCAAATTTAAGTGGGCATCCTGCATTTTTATTTGCTAAATCTGCCAACTCTGCTTTCAGGGGAATTTTTAAACACACAAAAGTAGAAACAATAGTAGAATAAACCCACATGTAACCATTCCTCTGCTTGGACAATTATCAAAATTTTGCCCCAATTATTATTTTTTAAATTTTCGTGACTACCAGTATGTTCCATAATGTGGGAGATACAGAAATAATTATGTCCTTAAGTATTTTATCATCAAGTTGGGGAAACATGCTAAACACTCAAGAAATATGTGCTGAAATGTATAATGCTGACTATAAATTCTACTGGAGTTCAGGGAAGGAAGCATCAGTGTTGAATGGAGTTGATGAAGTGAGCTTGGAGTTGAGATTGTGTTAGGCCTGGTAAAATCTCTATTAGTTGAGCAGGCTTTCTGAGTAACCAGCATGAGTAGGTTAAATTCACTGGGTTTTATAGAAGTCTCTCTCCATTTGAAAGCACTCACTTCCCTATGCTTCACTCTTTAATCATCAGGGCCCACAGCAGCTGTCTCCCATCCAGCTAATATACATCAAGCAGTACTGCAAATTACATCATCAGGACCGATTAGCTCTTGAATGTGTCAGCACAATGGCTGTTCAATCTTCTCTGGGTGACTCGTTAATTAACCTCTGCAATATGCTGTCTTTGACATCATTGAGGAGTTCAATTTTTCCTTGATTGAAAGTAGCCCTGGGGAAAATGCTAAATTGATAAGAGAAACAAAATTCTATTCCATTGGCCAGCTTTATGCTAATGCTTATGAAATGCCATGGCTACTTGAGCCTATTGGTACATGTCAAATAATTAGGAAAAATACAGGATGATGCTATGGCTAATCTCTTAAATTACATTTGAAATGGTCTATTTTTCTACGCAAGTGACAATAGAAAAATGTGGGGTTTTATACATTTAATAAGTTTTTACTTTCTAATTTCTCTCAACTTTAAATGCAACTAATTCAAATACTAAGGATGAAAATTTGAAAAAATGTTTTATTGAAATATAATATAGCTACAGATCAAAAAACATTAAATGTCTTCAGAAGTCCCTTTCATGCTCCCTATTCTCAGTCACCATCCCCAACTAAAGGGTAACCACTGTCCTGACTTCTAAGACCATAGAATAGTTTTGCCTGGTTTTGTATTTTATGGAAATAGAATCATACAATACATACTCTCTCATATGTCAGGCTTCTTTTGCTCAACATTACATTTGTGAGATTCAAGGAATACTGATTTTAAATGACTTTTGTTATTAAATAAATAATATGTACTCAACATTTAAAAATTAGGAGACTGAGCTATCCAGCCAGGGTTTTGAAATCCCAAGCTGGGGAGCCCTCCAGTGTTCATGGTTTCAGGAGTCCCTTTGCCCATCTCTAAGAAATTGTTTGGGGAATCTGGAATCTATCCTGATAGAGATGTCAGGGAATAAGATCCTACCAAACTCTTCTAGATGCTTCTGCAGTCTGGAAATTCTGTTCCACATCTCACCTTAGGCTGTTCCACATTTCCCCTTAGGTTTCAGCTACAACAGACTCCTTTATGTTTTGAGTTCAGATCAAAAGCAGCATCCCTAGACTCCAAGGAGTCCTGCCTTCCCTGCAAAAGATGACTTCAGGGGTAGTCTGCTCTGCTCACCACCAACCCTTCCCCTCGGCCCTGAGTGTGGCCCTCCCCAAGGATGGCAGTAAGCATGGAATCCACAGGTCCCTTTTTTCTAGCACTCATAGCGCTCTGCCCCTGAGAGATATGAGAGTCATTCCAAAATCTTCTCAGGCTCTGAGTACACCCAATAGTGATTTTCTTCTTGGGTTCCACCCTGGAACGGATGCATGCAGTCAGGAAAATGTCACCCAACCTGTCTCTCAGTCAACAGGTCAGCTGGAAGCACTGCCCTACAGGGTGTCCTCCTGGGTGTTGTTACTCCAAGAGAGCCTCCCCCTACTAGAAAGGGTGTCTTCTCTCCATTAAATCTTGAACTTTACAGACTCAACTGTTCATTGCAGTAGACTCTGGGCAATGCTGTACTTTACCAAGGGCTCTGTTTTTTAGCTTCTTCAGTAGCCAGGGATGTAATTAAATGCCATCGTTCTAAAGACACACATTTTCCATTCCAGCTGCTTGAAGTTCCTTCTCTGCTAAATGGTTTAGCAATTATCTCTTTGGCCACCACCTACCACCCCTGGAATGGTGCGCCACAGTGACTTGTACTCCTGCCATAAATTAGGAAGAAGTCTTGCAATCTTGAGTAATGTCATGATGTAGCTTACTTATTTACTTAGGGAGTGGATTGTGGCTATCTTTTCTCATTTTAAATTAGAACTACTGGGAACAGCACCATCAAGGTGGCCATAATTTACCAAAATGCCAGCTTTTCAAAATTCTTAAATGTATAACATTTCAGGGTGTAGACAAGAGCAGGAGAAGAACCTCACATTCACACAAGGGCTCGAATTTATCTCCAAGTGAGACTGTAGAGTCCCGATGCATGTGTTAGATCATTTATCAAGAGTAAATTAACATTTAAAATATGTCAGAATGTAATCCTGCTTTTGGTATTGCTTTATTTACTTCTTCATTTAATGGATCAGGAACACCCCCCCCCCCAAAAAAAATGGTCCGAATCAATCCTAACCTGGGGGGAGGGGCGCGGAATGAAAGGGTGACTCCGAGCGCCGAGTTTAGGCAGCAGAAATTTCAAGGCCAGCTCCCCAGGTCTTGGAGATCTGTGCTCTGCATTCCCACGGCGATCCGCGGGGTACGGGCGGGCGGGTGGA